TGGAAGCCCGGCTTTGGGCCTGGGGGGTGTGGGGGGGGGGGGGGCAGGGGGGCCTGGTGGGCATGACCCTGAACAGTTTGATACTGCAAGAAGGAAAGTGAAGAAATAGCAGTAGAAAGTTGTTCATAACAATTTAGTTGTGGACCAGTTCACAGAAAACAAAGTACTACCATGAAACTGAAACTAAATCCAAAATGTTAAAATGTGTATAAACAGATTAAAAAGGAAATACACCATTGATCTGTACCTGATCACCCGGCTCCTGGCCTTTTCCTTATTTGTAGTGACTGACTATGCAGATAGAGTAATGACTCTCGGTTCCTAAAAGATATTCTGTTTTCTAAGAGATGATAGATAAATGCATCTGGGACAAAACTGTGGAAAGGCAGTTTGACTTTAAAAGGCAATACAAATTACAGTGTAATAAGTAATGAAATAAATATCCCACCTACCCTCACTTGCATAGACAGAGGCATTTACATTTCTCAGTGCCATTATATTGGCCCTCCAAGTAGACTGTCTGCATGCATGGATTGGAAATGCAAAGCTGCAAAGGCCCTCCTGACTATGTAAATATCTGGCATACGTGAGTCTTTTTAAAAAGGGAAAACCTACGTGACGCATTTGAAATCGGAACAACTGCTATTTCAAGTTTTTTTAATAGCCTCTAGTCACAACTTGAAGAGGGATTTCACATTTTGAAACTTAAGTGTAATCATTTTCAATTCTGAGAAACCTAAAAAATGCAAAGAATTTTGCACGTACTCAACTAAGGAAACTTACATGAGAAAGTCCTGAGTTGTTGTTCCTCTAAGCATTGCCTTGGCAAAGGCTGTGGGTGCAAGCCAAAAATGTAATATTACAACATTGCACTTTTGACGGAATATTCCTTCCTGCCTCAGGTCTAAGTAGAGTCATTGGGATATTACTTGGGGATTCTTTCTAAGAATTTTGTTTTGATTCCTCTCCAGTTCTGTGGGATTATTCCACCCCCATAGTTTTGCACCGCAAAAAATTTGAGCTCACAGCTTATCCTCAAACGCTCTTAAGGGCTGGTGCAATTAAGTTGTCTCGGTGAATCCAGATTAAAACATTACACAACTTGCCCTGAATTTGAGGCCTTCTCTTTTATTACTTGAATATCCACAAATCATATACCCAGGTAGGGAGAAGAGCTGTTTTGCCTATTGATTCTCCATTTATGTAACCTCCATCTCCAACTAAACACAGTTACTCTAGGAATAATTTATCGAGAGGTCCTCCCATTGCTTGTATTAATCCATGTTCTTAATAAAAACTCTTCAAAACCAAAGGTGGTTGTGAAAATAAAACCTTATCGTCTGCATTTGATGACAGACACTGGGTGATTCATTATTTTATTTAGAAAATACTGAATCCCCCTTTAATGGTAAAACAACTTTATAGATAGAAAAGGGGTTGAAAGAGACAGCCTTCTCAAGCTCCCTTCTGTAATTGGGGTGGAATCACTTAGTTCCCCATCCAGTCTAATAGAAGAGAAATGACAAAAGTGTGTGGGGGACATTCACAAAGTACAATATTTTTAGGTGGGGAGATATTTGCAATGGATTTGCCTTTATTGGTTTAGAATAAGAGCTGATTTTCCCCACCTGCACACACGCACATTCTGTAGCCATACCCTCAAATCTTAGCGATTTCAGTGGGAGCCAAGGCTTCTGAACCTCTCACAGCATTGTACCTTAGGTGATGGGCAAGGTTTGGGTTTAAATCAGCCAGTTCAATTCACAGAGTGAATCTGCTACGCTTCTCTCCCTGGCCTTGGATAATCATAGATCAGGAGGGGGTGTCACTGATGCCAAGTGTCTGGGACTTCAGTCTTGGTAATCTTCTCCCCCTTTAGATACTCAGAAACTGTAACTAATTCACTTCTTAATTGTCAGTTGAGTTCCCTTGATCTCTCACTGCAATAGGGGCTTGTTCGATCTTGGCTCATTCTTGTATATTTGTTCTGAGCCATTTCCAATTTGTTTCAACATCCTTTTCAAAGTGTAGGCACTAGAGCTTGACTCAGTCTCCATCAGTGTCCTTACTAATACTGATAGAAATGTAGCCGTGTTAGTCTGGGGTAGCTGAAGCAAAATGCAGGACAATGTAGCACTTTAAAGACTAACAAGATGGTTTATTAGATGATGAGCTTTCGTGGGCCAGACCCACTTCCTCAGATCAAATAGTGGAAGAAAATAGTCACAACCATATATACCAAAGGATACAATTAAAAAAATGAACACATATGAAAAGGAGAAATCACATTAATACTAATACTGTTTCCGGGTGTAACGCTGCCTTATTCTTTCTTTACATTCCCCTCTTTATATGTCCAAAGATTGAATTAGCCCTTCTGGCCACAGCATCACGCTGGTCCTCATGTTCATGTCTCATGATCTCATCTTCATGAACCCTTCATTGTTTTACAGGATATAGTCTCCCCCACCCAAGCACAGCCTATATTTTTTGTTCATGGGTGTACAAGCTTGTATTTGTCTATATTAAAGTGTGTATTGATTAATTGCAGTGAGTTTACTAAGTGATCCAGTTTATTCACTCTGTGAGTTGTCCTTATCAATATTACCACTCCACCCGTTTTTATGCCCTCTTGCAAATTGTACCACCAAGGGTATATAAAGCCAATTCTTCTATATCATTGATAAAGATATTGAGTAATATTGGGCCAAGAACCAATCACAGTCAGATCCCACTAGCAGCACCTCTTACTTTGTCATTCCTCATTAACAGTCTATCCAGTAGCCAGGTTTTAATTAGGCTATTTAATGTGCATCATTGATTTGGTATCGTGCTTATATATTGTGGGGCACATGGAAAGTGAAGTCCTTTACAGAAGTCTGTTGACACAATTGCCATAGTCAATTACCAAAACTATATAAAAAAAATATCAAGTTTGAGTGACAAGCTCTTGCTTCCATAAAAGGAATATGATTGGCTTTAATTATGCAACAGTTCTTCACAGATTTATGTCCTGTATCAGCAATGACATGATGTTGCCCACAGTATCAGGCTAACCAGCCCATAGCTACCCCGCTCATCCCACTTACCCCTATTAAATATGAACTTTCTTGCAGTCCTCTGTAACTCCCCCAGTGTCCAAGATGTGTTAAAAGTCAGCACTAATGGCCGAGAGCTCTGTGGCCATTTCTTTTAAAAGTCTTGAGCGCAAGTTGTCTGCTCTTGCTGATTTAAAGTTCGTGAAAGGTCATAGATGCTGTTTGACATCCTCCCTTGGAACAGATGGTATTCCATTACCATTGTAACTTATTAATACGTGCATTGATACAGCTTCTTTCGAGTACTTTATTACGGATCATGGGGACTGCATGCCTGTGGACATTGCTAATGTAAGCAGAGTCTGTTCAGGAGGCATTTGAAGGCTCTTGTTCCCCCCCAGCGAGCATTCTCCCTGAATGACAAACTCAGTGCTCAACAAACTTGCAGCATTTTAAAACTATGAGTAGTTCTGTGGCACCTTAGAGCAGGGCTGGGGAACCTTTTTTGGTCGTGGGTTGGCTAGCAGACTGGCTCAGTCCTGGCTTGTGACGGGTCTGGGACCTACCTTGCTGTGGCTCTGCATTTAAAATGTGTTAGGAGCTGGGCGGGCAGGCAGCCTGGATCAGGGCTAGGAGCCCAGACCCTCCTCCAATACAGGGACTGCTGCCACCCCACGCTGCTGCCTCTATATCAGAGGCAGCAGCAGAGGGCAATAGGCAGCCAGTCTGTGAGGGGAGCTGTTTTTTCAACCAACTCCCGTCGTGGACCAGCTTCTGCCTGGCATACCATGCTGCTGCTGCCTCTGATACAGAGGCAGCAGTGCTGCATGGCAGGGGGCTCCTTGGGAGTGAGACCAGAGCGCAATATCTGCCGGCCTCATCCCTCAGGGAATAGTCGAATAACCGATAGGAATTTATGAGGTTAATTGACTATTCAGTTACTGGTAACTGATAATTAACATCCCTAGTGTGCACGCACGCACTGCTCACCAATGGCACTGGTGCACGCACAACTTCTGGCACTTGGGAACCCGGAGCTGTCTCTTCTACAAGTCAGTGTAAAGTAAATGTGATCGTTTGGCACACAGCTAACCTCAGCAGTTACCAGGATTTTTATCTGCAGCAATTCAGGAAGCCTGTTTGGAGAAAACATTTTCCAAAGGGAAGTCTTTGGGAGTGCATGATTCAAACGGCAGTGTGTCTGTTACAGGAGCTTGGCAAAGCCAAGGGAGAGCAGTGGGGCAGTTCCTGTGTTCCTCTTGGTGTTAGAGTGTGAACCTATATGTGACACATTTGCTGGCCAGCGCTGATCTGGCATGGCGAGGGGTAGGGCAGTGCAAAGGGCCAAAGCCTCTTCCTCCTGCCATTTTCTGGAGTAGAGCTAAAAACCTACATCACATCCATGGTTGTTCCTGGTGAAGACCTGTCTGGATGATGCAAAACCAGGCTTACGATGAGAGGAGCACAGCCCAGAAGGACTTGATGCCTTGCTGCCCTCTGGAAAAAACAAAACAAAAAGATTTAAGAGAGGCTCCATTGAGCTCCATCCTATTAGCAAGAGGGAGCTCACTCGTGGTACCCTTTGCATCTGCAGCTCCGAGAAAAGAACCTTCCAGCGTGCTCTGAAGCTGGACTTGTAACTTCTTCTGGCCAGTCCTTCAAAACTGGGAAGCAGATATAAAATAAGTGAGGGTAGGACCTTCTCTTCACAAATGGCCATGACAACTAAATGTAGCCCACACACCAGTCACATAAAAAATTACTGAGGTAAAACCTGAGTCTCATCTGCCTTCTCATCAGAAGTGAAACAAAATTATTCTGCTTGTACCAAAATCTCCTCCAAAGAGCTGGTTGCTGCTCTCCGAATCTTTCCAGTTATCTGCCCTCTGACTGGGTGCCCAACGTGTCTTTCCTCATTTAAAAAGTGTGCTAGGAATTTGTCCCCTCTGATTAGAAATCTTTACACCAAAGTTGGCTGTCTTTTTGTAAAAGCTACATTATAGCTCAACCACAAGATATGGGCTTGGATGTAAGAATCAGTGAGTGAAATTCAAATTCCCTGGTCTTTGCTATGCAGGAGATCAGACAAGATGATCAAAATGGTTCCTTCTGGACTTAGATTTTACAGAGTTCTCCCATCCCAGGTCTAGCTCACCCGCCTGCATTTATGCGTTACCTCCCTGGAAATCCAGTGAGACGGGCTATTGGGAGCCATTTCTCTTTCTCTGGTGCGTTCACCACCTTGTTCTAAATGTCCTGGCTTCCTTTCTCTTTCTTTTGCAAATAAACAAATGCCTGCTTTCCCGTTAGATATTCCTTCAATGGGTTTTTATGGGAGAGAAGCACAAGAAGCTTTATTCTTGAGCAGATGCTTCCAAAGTAATGAAGCTGCCCTGCTTGCAGCACATGGTGACTCATGAGGAGTTAGTGGTGGGTGTAAAATATGAGAGAGAAGGTGCCGGCAGAACCATGTTCCACCTCCCAGTTGAGTAGCCAGCTGGGTGTGGATTGGACTTTGCACATATGACTAAGCATAGCCCAGATTGTAGGATTGTTGTGTAAACTCTTACGCAAGCTTGACCTGAGGACTTGTTTGGGCCATGTGCTGATTTTGATCAGTTCCTAGTATCTTAGGCACTTGGGCTGTTAAGTCAGTCCCCACTGGCCCTGTAGGCTTTGCTGGAGCTAACAGCAGGATCCATACAGAACAAACAGGGTTTCCAGATGACATTGGGTTAGAATTCTTTTCATGCATTTAGTGAAAATGCAGCTGAGAGCAGAGAGTTGCTTGGGAGGTTATCAGTTTAGCTTTTGAGGCATGTGGTGCTGAATCTCCCATAAACACTGGTGGTGTGTTTTGGTACGTGAGGCTATTTGTGTTAAGACCTTTGGGGCAGACCCAGACCCATAGCTCCGCACACTGCAGTGGCCACGTGTTGAGAATGTTTCAGGGAACTTTTGGCCTTTTGGTCAGACTCGTTTGACAAATACTGTTCACCTCTGAACTGCACAAAGAGTATTTCAAATTCAATAGCTTGGGAAAACCTGCCGTGTTCCCAAGTCTTAACCTATGTCTGTACTTGCACAGTGTTTTGTGCTGTCAGTTTCGCTAGTGATAGGGAACAGGTTAGAGAAAGGAGGAGTCCTGTGATACCTTAAGTATTTACATTTGCAGCACTTCCATCTCCAGCGAAAGCGCCCTGAGGGCAGCTATGCCACAGTGCAGCTCTCGTGGGAAGGGTGGGTGGGTGATCGAAGGGCATCCCCGTACAGCCCCTGCTCCCCAAACGCTGGTCAAATCCAGTAGCTCAGCATTTCTGCAAGCAGGTGATCATTTGCTCGGTGGAGCAGGCATTGTCACTAGGGATGTAAAAGGTTAACTGGTTACCCGGTAAGTATTAGGCTGGGTAACCTTAAACAGGGTGTCCCGGGGACGGAGCTGGCTCCCACGTTAGGAAAGCAGGGTAAGGGATGTCCTGAAGGTAGAGAGGTGAGTTCTGGAGTGGCTTAGAGGATAGGCATTGTCCTGGGGAGCACAGGCTGGTGGCTTTGAGTCCCACCTCCCCTCCGCCCACCCTGGGAGCGACAGGATAGCCAACGTAGGCTGCCCTAGGGATGGAGCTAGCCCTTCCATTAGGAAAGCAGGATAAGAGATGCCAACTAGTACAGCCATCTGTGCCAAGCTGGAGCACCTCTGGCTGAGTCCAGCCAGCTGCACCGGGGCAGCAGGCAGGGTCGTGCCTGTCTTGGGGCCCTAGCCATGCCAGAGCAGCTCAGGCAGGTGAGGCCCTGGCTGTGCCAGAGCACCCATGTGGGGCCAGGACAAGTGGGCTGGCAGGATCCCAGCTGTGCTGGGGTGACCTGGCAGCCATGTGTGACCCCAGCTCTGCTGAAGTGGGGCAGGTGGGAGTCAGATGGTCAGGCCAGTAGGGTCCTGGTGGCTCTGGACTGTGGGGCAAGACCCCAGCTGCTCCAACTCAGCCCGCCAGTGGTTAAATGGTATAATTTTATCCGTGTAACTTCAAATGGTTATTTACACTCCTAATTGTCATTTGGCCAGATAAGTGAGATAAGGCAGACATCTGTTTACCAGACACGGGAGCAGCAGAGGTGCTGGCTAGAGCGGTCACCTAGGCACTGTGCGATATCCTGCAGAGGTGAGAAGCTCTGCATACAACAAGAACATGTCTTCACTTGCACATCCCTGCAAAGCATCCCCGGGAGCGGCACGCTGCTCATGGAGGTGGCTTTCTTTTTGCAGTGAAACTTCTGAGTTTCACCCCAAAACGTCATTGGTAAATGTAAATGCACCCCTAGTTTCTGCACAAAAAAGGGACCTTTTGTGCTTTAAACGGCAAGTGTAGACATGCCTTTCGTCAGCGGCGGGGAATTTGTCAGCCTGTTTCATGTTAGGCTATAATGCAGAGGGCTGTCTGGTAATTTCCTTTCCCATTTCTTATTCTGACTCATGCTCTGATGCCCTTGGCTAGCTCTGAACCTTGGTACCCACTATTAATCTACAGCCTCCCTGCCTGCTTGCTTGGCCAGGCTGGGAGCTAGTACAGCTCTGAAACCAAGGAGAGCAAGAAGGGTGTGGGCCTGAGAGCTAACACCTGCAAGGCCTTTATGGTGCTGCTGGGTGTGTGAAGCGATGCAAGTGGTTGGCCTCATTATGGAGGTTATAGTACATACAGTTGCTGGTGCAAGCTGGTTTCCTTTCCTGGAGCTAGAGGAACCTGTAGCTTTGTAATGCCTTGCAGACCACATCAGCGTGTGGCAGCAGGAGGATGCTGAGTGGAAGTAGGAGTGGGGCATTATTTCTGAATATGGCATTAGCGAGTCCAGTATGAGCTCCTGTGTTTAGTTCTGGTGTCCGCAAATTGCAAGTATGTGGATAGATTGAAAAGGGCTCAGAAAAGAGCTACCAGAAGTCTGAGAGAGACTAAGGAAGCTCAGTCTGCTTAGTTTATCCCAGAGAAGGACCTGCCTATGTTTCGTACTAGTCAGTATCTTCATAAATGTTTTGGATAGTGGCAGAGAGCTCACTTAAAGTTTGCAGACCATTCGAAGCTGGAAGGGGTCCCAAGAGCTCTGGAGGGCAGGGTTAGATTTCAACATGATCTTGATCAACTGGAGAAATGGTGTGAAGTAAACAAGACAAAGTTCATTACGGACAAACGCCTTAGGAAGGAACAATCAAATACAAAATGGGCAGTGACTCCCGAGGAAGTGGTACTGCAGAAAGGGATCTGGGGGTTATAGCGGATCACAAACTAAATAGCAGTCAGCAATGTAACTCTGTTGCCTCTGCCCCCACATAAACCTCATTTTTGCTTGCCACACTCCCCAGAAGTAGTTTCTTCCATTGTACTCTGATAAGGCCTTAGTTGATGTACAGCATCCAGCCCTGGACTGCATACTTCAGGGAAGTTGTGGACAATCTGGAGAAAGTCCAGAGCAGAGCAACAAAATAATTAAAGGTTTAGAAAACATGACAGTCTTTTTTCGCATGAGGAAGACTGAGTGGGGGACATACATTTTCAAGCATGCAAAAGGCTGTTATAAAGAGGAGGGTGATACATCTTTCTCTTTAACCCCTGAGGACAAGACAAGAAGCAATGGACTTAAGTTGCAGCAAGGGAGATTTAGGTTGGACATTAGGAAAAAAGTCCTGACTGCCCGGGTGGTGAACAGATTACTAGGGGAAGGCTGCAGAATCGCCATCATTCATTGGAGGTTTTAAGAACAGGTTAGACAAACACCTGTTGGATGGTCTAGAACAGTGTTTCTCAACTTTTTTTTTATAAAGTACCCCTTTACAAAAAATTAAAGTACCCCCAGTACCTACAGTTTTCAGAGAGACAACATTTTTTTTTACCATTGCAACACATTTGTTTAAACAACTTAATCGTAGCTGGGCAGGCGATGACATTTTTGGGTGTAAAAAGTACAAAAATAATAAAGCGCTGTAAAACTTAACACAAGTTCAGATTTCTCTAAATTTCAGTTGTGTTGACGTACCCCCCAGACTTCTCTTGATTACCCCCAAGGGTACTTGTACCACTGGTTGAGAAACACTGGTCTAGAACAGCCGATCTCAATGCAGGGACTGGACTAGACGATCTGTCAATATCCCTTCTTGTCCTACATTTCTATGATTCTAACTGAATCTGGGCCTGTTGCCTTATTCCGTGTGTACACTTTTAACCATAGGCGCCAACTCTCCCTCTAGCCAGTGGGTGCTCGACCCCTCTGTGCTGCCACAGGCCCACTGTTTCTCACAAGCTCTGCCCCTGCATTGCTCAGTTCCCCAAGCCCCGCCCCCGTTATTTTTTATTTTTTTTGCTTGTCACTTGTGTGTGGCCCCTGACTGATTTTTTTTTTCCTGTGGGTCAGTGGCCCCCAACCCAAAAAAGGTTCCCTACCCCTGATTGAAACCATCCCTGACAGGTGTTTGTCTAGCCTGCTCTTAAGAGTCCCCAATGATGGAACTTCTG